AATGTCATATTTGCATTAAAAATGTCATAACTGAGCAAATGACACTTAATGACAGTTGTCACAAACATGCATAAAACTTCCATCATATTCATAACATATGTCATGTCATGGTTATGAAGGTGTTATGAAGGATATATAGTTGGATAAACAATGTGTGACATTTCTTCAGCTTTAGTATTCTCCCATGAAGCGTGAATGCCGCGAAAAACAAACACAACACATATAAAGTGGGAAAGAGCTTTGCGATTGACTGTACAACTAGATTTGACAAAAAATCGGAGGTATATTTTTACATACTGTTATAGAAACAGGAGCAACTGGATCGCTGCAATTCACAGAAACAACTGGACTCCAGTCAGCCAAAGGTGGATTTGCAGTTATCATTTTGTGTCAATATACTGAATTTAGGTGGAAAACCATACCCATATATTTTGTATTGTTATATATATTAACAACTCATCAATTAAATATTTATCTTTGCATATTCTGCATTATTGGATGTTTTTTAATGAACACTGACAAAAAAACAAACAAACTATAAAGTTTTAGGGCTGGACGATATGATGATATATATATAGGCTATATATAACATTGATATAAGTGATCACTCGGATTTAGACCTATATTGTATTTATATAAAGCGTTCACTGGCAAATTTGCATTATGTTTAGGTCTATATTGCTTTTATTTCCCCACTGTCGAAGTCAGGCAAACATAAATGTCAGGCAACACGATTCCTGGCTGCATGTCAATATCCATATCCATGGATCACTGGATCTTTAGTTAACTTGTAAGAAACACTATATTGAGTCCAACATTTAGTTTAAATTGATAAAATTGTTCATTTTATTCGCAGTTTCCCCTATTAAATCCAGTCACGCAGCAGATCTTTTGCCATTCAGTCAGGCTGAGGGGGGTTGTTCCGGCGGGAAAGTGCCAATGCATTCCCTCTATAGCAAATGACGGTTTCCTAAGAATGATCCCACAACTGTGTCATTTAAATGCTGCAATGTACTGTAAATGCATGTCATTTTTAAAGGACCCGTTTCTCTCAGTCTTCTGCGTCTCAAAGTCTCCGAGTTTGCAAGTGTGTGTTATGTATATTTACACTGGCATTTATTCTCGTACCAAGAGCTGTTGACAGTAATGTGTCAGGAATGGCCATTCACTACTGAGTCTCAGGAGGGATTATGGGTAATATGTTTTCCTCAAGATATTCCTTTTTCTCAACTTACATTTATCATCCACCAGTGAGGACGAGAGGAGGATGGAAATGAAGTTTGTGAAACCTCACTTTAAAATATACTAGATTCAGAGACCCACAGCAGACGGAATGAATGAGTTTTTCTTGTCATGGTGTGTAAAGTTGTGTTTCCTGATGAATGCGCAGCCTTCGGTATGAATGATTCTGACTGATGTTATTTTTTGCACATTTGTGCTGTTAATAACACTGATTAGACAAGTGTAGCACACAAACTCTTGTCCATCTGTTACAATATAACCACACACAATTGCTCTTCTGAGAACACAACTAAATAAAATAGACAAAACATGAAAATGTACAGCTTTGTAACTATTTAACAGGTTTTTCATTTTTTGTCAGAGACATAAAAGCTCATTAAAACAAAGTGCATTCATTGATTATTAACTTAATAGTAACATAATCTCAATACAAAAAAAGTAAAATGACAGAATAATACCTCACAAAGGGTTGGTTTTAAAGCTGATACAGTTTATTAAACATGTTATATATCGAATGTAATACATATGAGATCTTTTTGGCACCAAAAACAAAAAGATATTAATAAATAATATGTTCTCGTTAAGTCAGTGATTCTACATCTAAATAAATAAACATACCATAACTTACTCTTTAATAAATACACATAATTTGTTATATAGATGCATTGCATCAATGTTTATTGCAGTTGGTCAACAGGGTCCAACAATGCTCGAGCTGAAAGGCTGTGTGTGTGTGTGTGTGTGGACTGGGTTAAGAGGACGTCCCACTGCAGCAGGTGGAAAAAGACTGATAAACAGATGAGCTCTGTTTGCAGTTACTCCAAAGAAAGTAAAAGAACCAATACAAATAACCGCAGAGTGACAGATTCAGATATAAATGTATAACAGCTTTTGATATTGTGCTGATATTTTGTTATTTCTCAGCTTGATCATTATTGGAATTATTTTGTATGTTTAAAAAAAAAGGTGTGTGTAACAATATAGCCAAGTTGAATCAGCCAAATGATTTGTTTTTAACATGAATAAAATAAGTTACTAATTTACTAGTGTAAACAAAATTGCTTGCGTGAAATATCAGTTAAAGGGATAGTTCACTCAAAAGGACCATTTTGTCATCACAAAGGAAGATATTTTGAGAAATCATTATTTTTGGATATACAATAGAAGTGAATGGTCACCAAAACTGTTTGGTTACCAACCTGCTTCAAAATATCTTCTCATGTGTTCCACAGAAGAAAACGACATCAGGGTGAACTATCTCTTTAAATGTATTGCATAAAAGCAATATCATACTAGAAACCATGTTAATATTCAATATAGCACTATTGCATGATATTGCTTAAACATTTTTGAGAACCAAACAAATAAAAGTTTCCGAATGCGTAGGGTATTTGATACAGGATATTCTGAGGTGAAATCAGATTCAGTTTCATAACAATTTCTTTCTAGTTCCGCATGCTAAAAGATTCTTACAACCATATACATGCACATTACTACACAAGTGTATTGCATAAATCTTCAATTTGTTTTATATATATGTTCATTTGTAAAAAAAACAAAAACAAAATAAATCAAAACCATTTGTATTAATGTTTGTTACAGCAGCACACAGTCTGTAGACCTCTGTAAGGACATGGTTGGTTGAGTTTTAAGGCCGGGCGCGCGTTAGGGCTTAAGTCCTGTCCTGTAATTACATCAATGCTCTAATGAACTCATCAGACTTACAAGTGGCTTAAAGGGACACTCATCTGCTTCCTGAGCGCAAGACAACCGCTTTAGATTCATTATAAATGTGAGCGACTTCATTTATACGCCAATTGTTTTCCTAGTCTCCGAAAAAATGTTGCATGCGATCATCACATCTGCAATCTGTTGACATCACGTGTACATAAGTGTCTTATAGCTGTACTCCACTAAGTATAGTATTATATAATATTATTAAATAGTATTATTTTTATGCCAACGAAAACATGATTGACTACGGAAAGTGGAAACGAGGAGTTAGTGTAACTAATATCTGATTGCAGGAGATTCTTTCTGTGGAGTTCAGGGCTAAAATCATGACACGCTTTTATTGTTCTTCCCACTTTAGTTCTCAGTATTTTTGGCCAAGGCTTGACAGGAGCTAAGTGGATTAGACTCATGTGTTATGGGATTTACACAAACTAAGTGGATTTGGTCAGGTTAACTAAGGGAAGACCTCGGGGCAGATTTCCTGACAGCGCTCTGAGAATACACAGATTGCTGCCGAGAGGTTACCTTCGATTCCAGTACACTTACAAGAATCCGAAGGAATAAAAACCGAGAGGAACCTTTGGTATCTGCAACTGTTTCTGGAGGGATAACTAAAATGGCTGGAAGCATTGAGCAATGAGAGCTGTGTAGACAAAATTTGGGCTAGTTTGGGGTCAATTTGGAGGTTTTCAAAATGTTGTAGTCTAATTGGTTAATAAATAAAGCTCAAATACTCCATAAAATCAGTCATGAAGTTACTAACCGCATACACGGTGTTATTTAGTGCAATAACTTGTAGCTGTATTTTAAAAGGATCGCTATGCCAAAGTGCCCAGATAGCAAACTGACATTGAATCAACGTTGATTTGACATTGTTTTGCTCATCGAATTAACGTTGAACCAACGTCAGACGCATCATTCTTTCAAAACTAACGGAAAATCAACTTGAAATCAACGCGTTGTTTCAACGTTATGAAGCAAACCAATTTTCGATTTTCATTTAGCTTTGAAGAATGCCGCGTCTGACGTTGGTTCAACGTTAATTCGATGAGCAAAATCAACGTTGTTTCAATGTCATGAGAGACGTCGTTTCCACGTTGATTCAATGTCAGTTTGCTGTCTGGGTGGCATACATTTACAGTAAGTTGTATCCAAAACGTGGATTACACCTGTGGTGGGAGATGACTCGAAGGCTCTTTATAAATGTATCTAACTCTGCATTTGCGCTGGAAATCGTCAACCTGATCTGGGAACACAGGACATACTGCTCCTATACCGTTTTTAACTTGTTATATATTATGAATATGCAGGGATATTGTTTTTTTTTGCCTCTTTGTAGTGTTAGGAAGGATTTGAAAGTCCTCAGTTGTTAAAGAAATAGTTCACTTTTCCAAAGACTTTTGCTGATAATTTCCTCACCCCCATGTCATCCAAGATGTCCATGTCATTCTTTCTTCAGTCGAAAAGAAATGAAGGTTTTTGATCAAAACATTCCAGCATTTTTCTCCATATAATGGACTTCAGTGGGAACCAAACGGTTCAAGGTCCAAACTGCAAACTGTTCAAAGGGCACTAAACGATTTCAGACGATGAATAAGGGTCTCGAATCTTTTTGAGCGAAAATGAACGAATCTTTTTCCGAGTCAATTCATTCGTTTCGTTCGATGAATCAAACCAAATGACTCAGAAAAAGATTCGTTCATTTTAATGAACGAGTTCGAACAGGAGAGTCACGAACGAGCATCGCAGAACAGAACAAGGCGACCATTTGAGCTTATAAAACTTAAACTTTGTTATTTATTTATTAAATGAGCGATCGTTTCACTTGATAAGATTTATCGTCCCTTATTTATCGTCTGGAATCATTTAAAGTCCTTAGAACAGTTTGCACTGAAACTGTCTTTTGGACCTTGAACCGTTTGGTTCCCACTGAAGTCCATTATATGGAGAAAAATGCTAGAATGTTTTCATCAAAAACCTTAATTTCTTTTCGACTGAAGAAAGAAAGCCATGGACATCTCGGATGACATGGGGGCGAGCAAATTATCAGCAAAAGTTTTTTCAAAAGTGAACTACTCCTTAAAGTGCATGTTTCCCAATTTCCTTTTACAGAGCCATGTTGACTATCAAAGCTGAGGTAGATGTTTAGTATATGAACTTGATGTTCTGAATGTTTTAACTCTGAAATACTAGACTCTGTTGAATAGTTGCGATAATTTACTGTACATGTCAGTTCTTTTCCCTTTTTCAGCACAGTGAGGAAGTTTTGTTCAGCGTTGGGTGTGCCTTTGTGTATTTAGCTTTGTTTACCGAATTCAGATTCATTTTCTAGAGGTGTTCTGCATTTCAACTCTGAGCTCAACCTTCACTCAGCATTTCAAGCTATTTGAAATAGACCCACGAAGGCAATATAAACAAGACATACAGCAGCATCTCATTAGCAATGACTTAACATGGGAATAATTACTGTTTGCATGATGCGTTTTCTGTTTCTCTTCATCAGGACTGGCAGCAGTTTCTGAGGGTAATCTTTCAGCCAAGTATTTTTCGTAAAGGCAAGCAAGACTTATGCTCTCGTATGGTTTTAGCCCCAACCAAGATGTTCTTTTCAGAATTAGGGGTCTATATTTTTCATTTTTTCAATTGATTGATGGTTCCTAAATGTTTTGAGGACTCTCAAAGTCAGACGCATCCACACGCTTGGGCCGAAAACTCTCGGATTGTGTGGTATTGATTGAAGTTGTCGAGGAAGGAGATGTCCTCCTCGTATGCGGTGGGCCGACAGCAGGGGCTGTGACGAGCCTTGTCCTTCTGGTCCTTTGTGAGCAGGCGCGAGCGCTTCATGAACGCCAGCGTCAGGTCATAGTTTTTGCGGCTATTGGTGCACTTCCCGCTGCAGTAATGGAAGACTATGGTCTCGTCACTGACGTAGCCTAACCCCAGTTGACTGACCGTCACCTCCACCTCCCGCAGCGAGCAGGGTTTCGCTCTCTTTTTAGCCCGTTTAGTCCTTTTGCTCTGCTGGGCATCTCTACGGGCTTTCCTTTCCACCAGTGTCCCAATGACCTGCTTAAGCTCGCCCTCCGTAAAGCTCTGGAACATCTCCATGACTGAGAAATAAAGAAGGGTTCATTATTTTTAGCATTTAGCATGACATAAACATTGACACTGTTTCAATTATATTAGGCAGTTTTCAATGGAAGTCTATGACATTGACATAAGCTTTAACCTAAACTTTACAGCTAACATACTAATTAACAAATGCAAGCCCCACATATTTAGCTTTTCAACCCCTTGAATGTTTCAGACATCCCACCTCTCCCGGAAGGTCCGGGAGTCTCCAGCAATGACGATAGCAGGAAATTATATATAATATCCCGTAGGGCTGGGTATTGAGACAAATTTCACAATTCGATTCGATTTCGATTCACAAGCTTGCAATTCTATTCGATTTCGATTACGATTCGATTCAATATCGATTATTTTGGATATCAGTTACAATAAATGGCCATTTTTCTCAAGGGAATCAAATCTCTTAAATGCTGTAAACGGGAGTCTAGTTGTAGCCTATAGACTTCATTAGCCTAATATGAAGGAAATAATGAACTGTTTTGTAGCTATACAAACACTTCAATTACACTTTTATTTATTTTTATAATAAGAAGATTATATCAAATATAAACATTTAAATGGTGGCTGTTATAAAAACTTGCCAGACTTATTCAAATATGCATTAAATATTTGAAGAACATTAAGATTATAATTCATATGTAATATGGTGTATATATTTAGCAAAATGCTCCTCTCTAGAGTTATTTTTTTTCTAGCTGACTAGCGAGTTTATGTGGGTTTTCTGAGGTAAATATGACGATACATGACATTGATTACAAGCTGTTTAACTGACGTCTTTCCACGGTTGAAACGCTGATTGAGCGAATCAATGTGACATGATAAGGATTTTGATAAGTTGTACTTAACTTTTAACACACTTTCAGATGCTCATTTATGTTTATTTCACGCTGTGACTGGTATTATTAACCCGGAAGAGAGATCAGCGCTGCTGCAATCTCACGCCACAGCGCCAAAACATTTATGTTTTTGAATTTCTAAACAAAATGGACGTAATTTGAAAATTGAGACTTCGTTTCATATCAATAGTAACAAAGGACAAAGATTATTGCGATTTTTTTTATTTATTTTTTTTTTTGGATGCGTGCAGCCGCGATACAATGTCCCATCCATTCAAATGAAACAGGATGACTAATCGATTCTTGAGATTTAAGAATCGATATCGGTTCGTAAAAATGAGAATCGATTAATATTGAGAAATCGATATTTATTACCCAGCCCTAATATCCCGGAAATCGAGCGAGCGAGCGAGAAAGTCTGTTTCCACCTGATATTAAAATGCATTTCCGTTATACCCTGGTATTATCATGTGTTTCAAATGTGTCTTCTGTGACCATTCATGCTCGGATTTTGTGGAGACCCTCGCCCCTTTTTTCATCGGACTCTACTTCATCACTTTCACTTTCTGTGCACAAATACTATTGAATGAATTCAAACCCATGTAATGGCGCTTTTCCATTACCAGTACCCGCTCAACTCGACTCGACTCAGCTCGCTTTTCGCTCCGTTTTCCATTGCAGACAGTACCGGCACAAATAGTACCCGGTTGTCATAGCGACGCCTTTAGTTCCTCGTTGCCCTATCAAGCTCTCGCTGGATTCTCTCTTCAGCCAAAACAAAGGAAAGTCTGCACCTCCTTGTTTGACCACGACGTATTCTTCCGAGTTGCCATAATAATAGTAGTAAATTTAGTAACTATCTCTGGCCAAACTATTTAAAAATAGCAGGGTTATTCTGGATACTCCATCTGGCACGTGCAATGATGACGCAGTGAATGGTGACTGTTCTCTCTGACCAATCAGCAGTCGGCATTGTTTTCATGTGACATTTTAGTATCGCCTCAGCTCGCTCAGAACCTCCCGGAGGTGACGCAAAAAAAAAGTACCCGAAAGCAAGAACTGGTACAACTTTTACACAATGGAAAACCAAGCAAAGGCGAGCCGAGCCGATTCGAGCTGGTACTGTGTAGTGGAAAGGCGCCATTAGGTTAGGGAGTTGTTGTGCCATCTCCTGTGAATGAGTAAATTAATCCCAGAGGTCATCGAAAACGCATCTCTATGTCGTAGTGTAGGCGCTCATGTGGTCACTTGTGTTCAAACAGCCACAAAAGACCGTCTACTCTCCTCCTACTGACCGAACGCGTAAACATTATAGGAAGCGCACTTGCCAGATGGGATTTAAACATTGTTGGTTGTAGACCATGTCTGGTTTGAAGATGAGAAACAAATGGGTTTGTTCTCTCACTATTCCCAACATATACTGTAGTCTAGCAGCTGTCAGAGCAAAAATGAAAGCTGCTGTTTTTTTCCATAGTCTCCAAGCATGTTCATTTCGCAACATGACATCATGACATTTGCGTGAACATACACGCCAATTTCGAGTCAAGTGCCGTGTTATTTCTACGCATTTTGAGCTATTCGCGTGTATCCACGTGTAAATGTACATCTACATCTGGGCAGCGATCTTTTTTTTCCTAGGATGGTAAGGGAACAGTCATAAATGCCATTAACCCCAGTGACGGTTAGGTTTAGGGACGGGGTTGAGGTTGAGGTAAGTCGTATACGTATACAGTAATAACGTTAAGTCAACGGCGTTCATAAACACGCTGAAAAGCAATTATGCGTCTTGATAGCACGGCAAAAATGGAAATACGAATTGGCGTGTCATACACACGCTACTTCATGAGATCTGTCTGCATATCTAGTTTTTTTTATCCATTAGATTTAAAGATCTGGGGAATGTGTCTCTCTTGTCTACTTGTGCCAATCAACCAAAATGCATCTTAATACCAGGTGTAAACAGATTATGTATTGGGGTGGATATTTACATAATTTGTCATTCCTTTCATTAAATAGAAAATGTGATCCAAACACGCGTCACTCCTCTCCTCACAAAATTGCACTGGTTTCTGTTTCCCTACAGAACAACCTCTGGCTCTCCCTTTTACCTAAACTCATGACTTCAGACTTCCGCGCCATCTTCCATGCCAACGCCGTCTTGTGGTTCCAAAATCTCTTTCTTTGACCTTTACCTGGTCTGTTCCCTGCTGGAGGAATGATCTAAAACTAACCTTAACTCTAGCAGAGCTGCAGAGTCCGTAGCCATGTTCGAAAAGCGGAAAGACTGAAGACGCATCTTTTTCGGCAACACTTGATCCATTAATACTGACACTTTCTCTTCTATATATTTTTTATATCTATTTTATATCTTTTTTTTTAAGGGACATGTTCTTGATGTGTAAATGCATTTATGTACTTCATATTCTTTAATCTCTTCATCTTCAACAGAAGAGAGAAACAAATCTTACTGATTTTCTACTCTGATTTTGCCAAGTTATAATAATAATAATAATAATAATATGTTTATTTTATATAGCGCCTTTCAAAGTTCTCAAGGTCGCTTTACAGTAAGTACAGGTGAGCATCACATAACAATATGACATATAAACAATACAAAACGTTGAGACATAGAAACATGGCATAGAAAAAGCAAATATAAAGTGAGATAGTGGTACCAAAGCAAAGAAATCAGCAGAAACAAGAAGCGAAAAGATAAGTTTTAAGGTGAGTTTTGAATTCATGTAATGTTGAGAGGTCTCGGATGTCTTGGGGAATAGAATTCCAGAGAGTTGGGGCAGCAGTACAAAAAGCCCTTCCACCAAATGATGATAGTTTGTGCCGTGGAATCCTTAAAAGACCAGTATCAGAGGATCTAAGTGTGCGAGCTGGGGAGTAGGTATGGATGAGATCAGAAATATAGGGGGGGGCAAGACCATGGAGTGCTTTGAATGTGATAAGGAGGATCTTATAGTTAATTCTAAAGCGTACCGGTAGCCAATGAAGTCTGCGTAAAATCGGAGTGATGTGGGAAGATTTCTTAGTGTATGTGAGGACCCTAGCTGCAGAGTTCTGTATGTATTGGAGTTTATTTATAGAAGAGTCGGGTAAGCCATAGAAGAGAGAATTGCAGTAATCAAGCCGTGATGTGATGAAAGCATGAACCAAAGTTTCAGCATCGGTGATGTTCAGAAATGGACGCAAACGCGCAATATTACGAAGGTGGAAGAAGGCAGACTTAGTGAGCGAGGAAATGTGTGGAAGGAAGGAAAGAGAGGAATCAAAGATTATACCAAGGTTTTTAACAGTAGTGGAAGGTTGAACCGAAACTCCAGCAATGTGAACATTATCTACACAGAAACGGGGTGTGATTCGAGGTGAGCCAATAAGAAGTAGATCTGTTTTGTCGGTGTTGAGCTTGAGAAAATTACTAGTCATCCAGGCATTTAAATCATCAATACAGGCTGATATGGAATTTGTGGGAAAAGGAGAATTGCATTGAGAATGAATGTATAGTTGGGTGTCATCAGCATAACAGTGGAATTTAAAGCCATGCTGACGGATGATATTACCTAATGGGAGCATGTAGATGATGAAGAGAAGAGGCCCAAGAACAGAACCCTGGGGAACACCGTGTGGGACAGAGAGAGTGGTGGACTTAGCCTGGCGAATGGAGATGTAATGCTGGCGGTCAGACAGGTAAGAAGTGAGCCAAGTTAGTGCAGTTCCAGAAACACCAATAGCAGAGAGTCGCGAGATAAGAATATTGTGAGAGATTGTGTCAAATGCAGAAGAAATATCTAGAAGAATTAGAATACTAGTGGAGCCGGAGTCGGTGGCCAAGAGGAGATCATTGACAACCCTGAGAAGTGCTGTTTCAGTGCTGTGGAGGGTGCGGAAAGCAGATTGAAAACATTCGTAGTGGTTGTTAGCTGACAAGTGTGTTTGAAGTTGGGCAGAGACCACCTTCTCAAGCAGTTTCGATAGAAATGGTAGATTTGAGATTGGTCTGAAATTGGCCATGTTGGTGGGGTCAAGGCCGTGTTTCTTTAGGACAGGAGTGACAGCAGCAGTTTTTAATTCCAGAGGAACGGAACCAGAACTTAGTAGTTGGGAGATGAGAAGTGAAATCGGGAGAGAAATCACAGATGCACATTTTTTCAGTAAAGTAGTAGGAGCAGGATCAAGATGACAGGAAGATGTGTTTGCTTTGTTGATTAGCTCAGAGATATAAGCAGGGGTTGGGGGGGTAAAATTAGTGAGAGTACCAGGTGTACAAGCAGTGGCGAAGTCGTGTGTGTAGACAGGCGAGATCATGGATGGGAAATGATTGTGAATGCTATCAGTTTTATTTTGAAAGAAATGAAGGAATGATTCACAGAGGTCTGCCGGGTTACTAATGACAGGTGCAGGAGGGTTGGTGAGTTTATTGACCACCGAAAACAGTGCTTTGGGACGTGAAGACGCATTATTAATAATAGTAGAAAAGTAACTAGAGCGTGCAGTGTTTATAGCAGATTTGTACAATTGGATATGGTCAGTGTAAGCAGTAAGATGAACAGTCAAACCAGTTTTCCTATAAAGGCGTTCAAGACGACGACCAGCTGTTTTTAGCTTGCGAAGTGCAGGGGTGAACCAGGGAGATGTGTGTGTAGAAGGTACAACTCTACTTTTAAGAGGAGCATGAAATTCAAGGGCAGTGGAAATACCAGCATTATATTTGGTAAGGATATCAAGAGAGCTAGTGTGTGCAGTAATATCAGAGAGATAAGTTTGTGCAGATTCAGAAAACAGTACTGGATTTACAGAATTGATGTTACGGAAGGTTATAGTAGATTTCACCCTGAGGCGGGGAAGAGGCATTTCACAGTTTAGTTCAACAAGGATATATTCAACAAGGATATATTATAGATATATTTTAGATCCCTCAACTCTTTTCTGAAATCTCAAATCTAAACAAAGCTAAAATCTATATATATATATATGATATTATAAACAAATATCCAATTATATACATAATTCACATGATTAAATCTTTGGAAATGTACTGGCACCAGAATGAAATGATATAATTTCAAATTAGGTTGAAAACAATCGCATTGCTCATAAATACAACAGAATCAACCAATTAAATATTAACATTTTTTGTGAACATTTGTATGTCTGTTAAAGCTGCAATACCTAAGATTTAGATGCCGCCAGAGGGCGCTACATTCAAAACAACAACAATGGCTTTGCTTGATGACGACGTGGAGAAACGCGGAATGATGGGAACTGTTGTTTTCAACTCCACCGTGGATAAATCAGTCAGACGGGAATCGAAAATTAGTTGTCATGGATGAGGTAAAGTTCGATTTCTATAAACGTTGCGTTTAATGACATGCTTGTTTTTCATTCAACTGAAATAACCGCGCAAGAAAAGTCAGGTTTAAAAGTAAATTAGTTATCACAGATGTTACTGTACGAGTGGACGAAGCTATGGTGGAGAGGGTTTGAAGGGGCAGGTCTCTTGCAAGGATTTGACGTGGCTGGTCCTCCTTGGTAACTTTATAAAAATAAAAAATCAATTTAATGTACATTTGACACATCTTTTCATGTCGTGTAAGTATTCAACCACAGCTACAGTTTCACAAAATTAACGTTAAGGGGGTCGCACACCGGACGAGAAGCTGCAGCGCCGCGTCGCGACACATAATTATTCGAACACATTATTATCTATAAGTGTACACATACCGGCGGCGCCATTCGGCGTCTGTCCGCGGCGCCCAGCAACGCCTCAATCAGGACCGTGTTCAAAATCCTGCTGCGCCACAGAGCGCCATTTAAACAGTTTTATATAAAATTTTAATTATTTTTGTCTCAAACCGTTGCTAATGGATCCTGACTTCGCCCTATGCTGCAATATGCATTTAGTTTTGCAGTGATTTACAGAAATTAGCTGCTTGAATGACAATTGCTGATGTTGTTATTATTAGATTTTTCAGGTGAGATTCGTGAACGGATGACCTGATAAAGTTTTCAGAATGCAGACTCAGCAACGATTGTATTTAATTGTACAGTACAATCATAGCATAGAACAGACATAGAACAGACATTATCTTCATTTTCTGTCATTAAACATAACAATATTCCTGGCCATACACTGATGAGAAAGTGCGCGTCCGGTGTGGGATGCTGTGGAGTTGTCCTAAACGCGACGCGGCGCTTCTCGTCCGGTGTGCGACCCCCTTTACAGCCAACAGTTCACATTCCGAGGATAAATGAAAAGAACAATTGTGCTCCATTCCATAACAAATGCGCGAAACAAGCTGTCGTTTGTTAGACGCGAAGCAAGCTGTCGTTTGATAGACGCTATGGCACAACTACCGCATTTGTCCAGGACTACACGTAGTACGAGCGGAAACCAAGGTAAGCGGATATGACGCGATTGACTCGCGACTCCCAGCTCACTTCTGCTCACACGTCCCGTTTCCTTGGTTAAAACCTCAATTTTCTCGCGATTTAAATATTGTTTGAAACATATGGAATATTGTGAGTTATCATCTTTACTAAATGTATAACACTGGCCTTGTGATTTTGGGATATTTTAATGCAAAAATCTTAGGTATTGCACCTTTAAGTTGGTCATACATAATATTTATCTCTTAGATGATGTCAATAATATATTTACATTTTAGTGTCTAAAACCAAGTAAAATGCATAGTAGAACCACATTTTATCTGAAATACAGATAAAAGCTCATGAGCTTATGTTGAGAAACCTTTTTGTTTTTTTTGTTTGGTGCCCACAGTGAATGTGACCTGCAGGGAATTTTCCGGTTATCAGATCGGTTAACTTCACATGAAATTCTGCTTATCGTGATTATTTTACCACCTTGTGTGAAGTGAGTCTTATCTCCTATAAAGATTTCTGGGTGGCCTGCAGGCTAAATGCAATCAGATTTAAACAAAGATAAGTTTCGCTATAATCTGAGAACCTAAAGGCATGATCTTACATTCTGAGACGAAAGAGTTTCCTCCGTCAGCTGATCTGACCCTCCGTTGCCGCCCACCAACCCCACTGGAAGGTGACGGATTGCTGGTGTGTACCGAAGATGATGGTGGTGAAAACGATGAGGATGAAGCTCTGCGGTGGGGAGGAGGGGGCGGGGCTCTGGAAGAGGAAGTGGTTTTAATGACAAGCAGGGGCAGTGCAGCACCACAGAGAATCAGGCCGATGGCAGCAAACTTCCATAACTTCATTTTAGAATGAGGAGAAGCATTGGGCCCCTGCAAAACAACCAAACATCCGTCACTCAAAATGTAAATTGTTATTCTATTTAGATTTTGTCATCACACATCAGAAACATTAGACATGATATTCATTTTGTCAGATTATACGCTACTATTAGCCTGGATGCCAGCCCGAACCTCGCCCACAACATTTTTTGGTCGGGAAGTTCGGTCTGGACTCGATCCATTGAGGAGTAATTATGATCGGTTCAGAAATGGTCGGGCCAATCAAATTGCCATGGCCGGCTTTATACGATGATGGACTGATGATCTGCAGTTACATAATCATCACGTTATCAAAGAGTGCTTGGGTTGAACTGGTTTCCCCGATGGGGCAATCCACCAGCCGGAAACTGAAGTCTCATCGGGGGCCGCTATTGGTTAACAAGCCTTCGCCTGCTGTTAGCATTCCATTGACTCCCATTCATTTTGGCGTCACTTTGATAGCGAATAACTTTAGATCTGAGGCGTTTAAAGACTCAATTTGTCCTTTGTTTATTTCTGAAGAAACACGACAATGTATGAAAGGCTCCATTACCTTGTATCTTACGTTATGGCCCCGAAGAAGCAGTTTTTGTAAAAAATAGGCTAACGATTGCGTCATAACATGCGACTCTCTGTCGCACAGTAGAGAAATTAGCATATAGACAGGAGTAGAAGTAGAGTCTCTGCAAGAGTCGGAAGGGAATGATTCAGATTCATCTTGGCACCGTTACTAGAAGACTTATAACTGTCAGACAGGTTTCTCACGTCACATCTACGTTATCAAGCTCAGTTTGAGCCTGCGCAGTGCGCTTGGCAATCAGGAAGTGAGTGCTTCTTATTGACTTTACTTTTCTCTGTTGAAGTCTATGGGGTCGCTGTGTCCATTTCTTTTACTGTCTATGGGTTTCCCTCAAAGATGACTGTAACTGCTGAATTGAGATATAGATCGCGTCTGTTTTAAAAGAAATCGACAGCGCATTAGTTTTAAAAGACGAACAGAGAACTGCAATCAAGGCATTTGTCGATTTGAAAGATGTGTTTGCCGCCCTTCCTACGGGATTCGACAAAAGTTTAATTTATCAGCTGGCTCCGATGGTCACTAAGAAGAGGGACGTAATGAAAACCCAGTGGTCATTGTGGTTTCTCCTTGGGTCACACTCATGGAGGACCAAGTAAAAGAAGCAACACTCATTATTTTACTACTTCGTTCTGTTGACAACTATGCGTAGCTCAGCGATGCTCTGATCTTAGGTCTATCCAATTGAGTGCAGGTTTTTTTTTTTCTGGTTCGGTTAAAGGATTAGTTCACTTTTGAAAAAACTTTTGCTGATAATTTACTCACCCCCATGCCATTCTTTCTTCAGTCGAAAAGAAATTAAGGGTTTTAATGAATACGTTCCTGGATTTTTCTCCATATAATGGACTTCAGTGGGGACCAGACGTTTTAAGTTCCAAAAGAAACTTTCAGTACAAACTGCAAACTGTTCAAAGGGCTTTAAACGATTCCAGACGATAAATAAGGGTCTTATCAAGCGAAACGATTGCTCTTTTTTTTTTAAATAACAAAGTTTAAGTTTTATAAGATCAAATGCTCGCATTCCTCCTGGAATGTTTTCATCAAAAACCTTAATTTCTTTTCGACTGAAGAAAGAAAGACATGGACATCTTGGATGACATGGGGGTGAGTAAATTATCAGCAAAAGGTTTTTTCAAAAGTGAACTACTCCTTTAAGACATGCCTCATAATCAAAGCCCTATGGAGCAGTATCAGACTCACATTCTGACTAGAATATGCAACACATTCTCATCCCAAGGCGTCATATACTGACGCTTTTGCCAAAACGTATACATCCAACGCACATGGCACCCTTTACCGTCAATATAACACGCTTCAGTTATGGGTAGGTTTAGGAATGGGGTAGGGTTAGGGTTAGACCTCAAGGAGGCGCCATCTGGCCCATATCTGCGTCTCATATTGGGTGCCATGGGTTCCATGCACGTTGGATGTATACGTGTTGGCAAAAGCGTCAGTATATGACGCCTTTCTTACCACAGAAATTGTGATAAGCATGATTTTGGGGCGAAGCTATGTGTTTAGCTAAAGAATGGCAGAAAGGAGGAGTGGCTGAGAAACCTGTTTAACCCTCAGTTGCTCTTCATTTCGGAGTCACACTTGTTATCTTCCCGGTCAAAAGTGACCGGACACCTAAAAATGAAACTTTCTCCATCCCAGTAAAACCAATGCAATTTATTTTTGTTCTATAATATTTATTCTTTTTAATTTAGTATTTTGAGACAATTTAAATGAATTTATTAATATGTATGCTATATTTATGGTTTATTTTTGCTATAGAACAATATATATTATTTTCTATATATATATTATTTTCTTCAAAAAGATATAGAGTCTAGGCCTTCAGAAAAAAATATTTTTTGAAGAAAATTAGCACCATCTGGTTACAGTATAGAGAAAAAGCATAGAATCATGGTGTAGACCACTTGATGGCATGTACAGCTCTCTATTGAGAGGCATATGAATTCCCCAGCTGTTTATGAACACATTTTTGTTGTTGTTGTTGTTGTTGGTGGATTTGTATATATAGTTGAAACAATCTCAAAAACTATTTCTTATAAAAAAAAATGACAAAAAACAAATATTCACAATTTTTTTCCCCATTCATTTCCTATGGGGTCATTTTTGACCAAAGACCTCAAGTGTGACTATTTTTTTTAAGACCACTTAGCATGCTCAGATCATGACCTCAATTTTTTTGTGTGTTCACATACATAATGCCATAAAAGTCACCAAGTTTCGTAACATCCTGATGAAGCTGTGATTTTTAAAAATTCAAAACAGGAAATTTTTCAGTCAGAAATGACCGAAGAGCAATGACTACAGTATAAAAGATTAATATGTGTACATAAAGTTATGGTGGAATCCGGCTTGTCCCGTAGATGGTCTGCTTGCGTGCTTTTTGCGCACGAGCAGATACGTTTCCTCACTAGAGAATTGCAAATTTTTCCGATTTTCCGATTGCAAATTCCACCATGTAAATATCAAATCCGCCATGTCGCAAGCTCAACTGGTTTTTAAAGGGAATGTGAGATGAGAATCGGATTGGTTTATTCAACGCATTCTCATCCTTTAGCGTCATATAGAACGCTATATGACAAAACGGCGCTATACTAAGCGCATGGAACCTGTTATCGTTAATATAACACGCGCTGTGATGGGTAGGTTTAGGTGTGGGGTAGGGTAGGGTAGTCTCATATTACGCTAAAGGATTTATGACGTCTTGGGTTCGCGTGTTATATTAACGATAAAGCGTGCCATGTGCGTAGTATAGCGCCGTTTTGTCATATAGCGTTCTATGTGACGCTAAAGGATGAGAACGGGCTGGTTTATTGCACGTTACGCCCAAACAACACCCGGTACTCATTAAGAGAATAAGGACAAGCCTTTTAGACCCTGCGCCGTGCAAGTAGACCATTTCGTAAAACTAGTAAAAGTAGATTCGGACACGCCCGAAGTGCACTTACGCCATCATTATGGTGGAGTCCGGCTTGTCCCGTAGATGGTCTGCTTGTGTGCTTTAACCTTGCGCACGAGCAGATCCGTTTCTTCGCGAGAGAAGCGTTCAGTCTTTTTACGATTGCAAGGACAAGCCTTTTAGACCATGCGCCGTGCACGCAGACCATTTCGTTAAACTAGTAAAAGTTGACGCCGGTAGTGCACTTACGCCGTGAGCTTAGATTGTTAAAATAGGGCCCATAATGTGCTAACTGCCCCCTATGGCACCCCTTGTGGTAACACTGAAAATACTATGTGTTGACACATTTGGGGAAAACAATGAAGCTTAATTCTCATACTTGGGTGGATTACGTCTCTTAAATTCCATTGATTGTTCAAATAACCACATTAACAATCACTTTTTCATCTTTTTTGGCTGCACTGATGATTGACATTGATGTTTGACACTATTGTTATTCTCAAAAATGGTTCAAAGGCAGCAGTCCAACAATTACAGAACCGCTGCACTACCAAACGCCAAACCAAATTAAAACATCTTAGATTGTGTATTCTAAATCTTCCAGCTACACATGAGCAGCCTCGTGCAAACCAAGTTGTTATTTCCAAAGATTTCATTCACAGATGTTTGCACAAGTGGTTTTGCCATCCGTAACTTTTCTGCTCCTCTGTTGATCTCATTCCGGTCGCAGGTCTCGGAGCACACAGGTGTGGATTGTCCATCGCTTTCATGTGGCCCAAATCGTCTGTATCCAGAACATACAAAAACTGCCACATGCTGCCGATGCGCTCTTGTGTATTGTTTTACTTTTTCAATTTATCAGATGCGAATAAAACGGTGAGTTCCAAGCAAAACTGATTGCGTTTACTCCCGGGCCGTAGTGCTACTCTGATCACAAGCTTCTCCTTTGGCAACGGCACAACAAACACAAGAGAAGTACATCAGTTGAGTTTCTTCAGTGATTTCGCTACATCCACATAAATATTTGTTTTCCATTTTTGCTCTGTTAGACACATATCTGCCAGGTATGTTTATTTCTGAGTGAGATGTTTTTAGGATCAGAGGGCTTTTGTTACAGGACTAGAATAAGTGGCGATACCAAGATATGATGATCAGTATCAGTGTTGAGGAAAGTTACTTTTAAAAATAATGCTTTACAATATTCTGTGACTGTCTAAAAAGTAACTAATCATGTTACTTAGTTACTTTTTATCATGAGTAATGTATCAGTAACGTTTGAGTTACTTTTTCTCACATGGGATGGGCTTGCTTGTTTGTTTTTTAATAACGAAAAAAATTAGTTTTTTTTTCAGTAATATTTTACTCGTTACATGTTCAGTGAGGCTTGTATTACAGTTGTATTACAGTGTATTGTCTGCTTTTACTTCTTAAAGGCAACAGACTGTGTGAAAGTTTTAAAGCAGTCTTTTAGTGCCAGTTCAGAGCGGTCGCGTCTGTAACATTGTTTTTTCCTCATAAATG